TAATAGTGTTAGAATCTGAGGTTTTCAAGCAAGGTTTGCTCAGTGCTGTTAGCTGTTGCACTTCCCAGGACCTCTCAGTTGTCAAAACATTCAGAAATAAGAAATGTGTGTGTGTGTTAGTCTGGGTACATAAGAGAAACAAATCCACAGAAACTTATGTATAAGAGAGAGTTTTATATAAAGGTTAAGTTCACATCAAGAAAACATCCCAAGCCAGTGCTGCTCAAGCCCACAAGTCCAACATTATACCATATGACCAACACCAATCCACAGAGTCCTCCTCCATCTCACAAAACACGCAATGATGCTGAATGCTGGAAGAAAGCCAAATCAGTGAACATGTAAGCATCTCAGCGCTGACAGGGGTCTCCACACGGCTGCTCCAGCACCCAGGGGTGCATCGGGGTAGGTCTATGAGGCTTTTCCTCATGGATGTCTTGCAGGAAGTGAGCCTTGTCGGCTGAAGCAGGGAACTAGCTAAGGCAGCTGCACCCTGGTCCGACCATCACAAAGCAAGAGACCTGAGAACTAGAAAGGCGAGGCTCACTGAGCCATTTATCTCTCCGCCCTTCAATTAACCCCACATGTGTTTATGAGCCTGGTTGGCACAGTAAACTAACTACCTCAGTGTGTGCATGTGTGAAAGTGTCTATACTGTATCTATATCTTATATCTATAATTTTTCCTACATAAATCTACATATTTCTATGTACAATGGTTTCTGCAATAAATTTCATTTTGAGAGTTTGAATTTGTTCCAGTATAATTGATATATTAGGAAACAATTTTAATTTCGTGCAAATTTAGTTGTCTCAGACTTAGTCGATCCAAGGACACCAAGCTTCTCTTCCTGAGGGCTCAGCCTCAGGACCAACCCAACTGAGACACTGAAACAATGTGGTTTGTTTGTTTCTACCTTATTTGTTCCAGGGGAACCCTGTGGCACTGCCGTGCCAGGTAAGGGATGGACTGTTAATAGCGTGGTTGGCATGTGAGCCGTCCTGTAACCCACAGGAACAATGGGGATTATTTGCTCCTGTCAAGATTTACAGGCCCAGAAACCCTATGAAAGGTCACTATGAGTCAGTAAAAGAGCTCTGGTGGCTAATGGATTATGTGTTGGACTACTAAACTCAAAGTCAGCAGTTTGAAACCACAGGAAGAAAGATAAGGCTTTCTGTTCTCATAAAAGTTTACAGCCTGGGAAGTTGTACCCAGTGCGATAAAGTTGCTCATAAGTTGAAATTAACCGGTGACAATGAATCTTTTTACAAGTCAATATGGACTTAATGTCAGTGGGCTTCATTTGGGTTTGCTCTCAAAGTTATTTAAGGTGATAAATAATACAATCTAGATCTATTAGTTAATTTCATTAAAATCTCAAACTATGTTTAGATGTCCTTCCCCGGAAGTTTGTATTATATTTGGCTCACATGTAAATCTGAGAGATTCGTTTATCATTTCTATCTGTAATTACAGACAGTTTGATGAAAACCAAAATGTTTTCAGGCTTTATCCGCCTTTATTTCTACCAATAACCTTCTAGCTATTTATTGCACAACTTAGCTCTAGAGAGGAAATGAAACTGAACTCCATTCATTTAGGGATTTTTATCAGAGCTAAAATAAATATGTAGAAACGTTCCAATTAAATATCCACATGACAGCCTTTGCAAATAACTGGGTAGATTTTCTAATCTACAGGTCACTGGGTTACTTAAATTCCAATTGTGCTTCACACCCACAAAAAGCTTGGGGTGCGTTACATGCACTGGTGGCTTGTAGATATTCTCTAGAAATCATTTCTCAAGCCAAACAAACAAGACTATTGTTGCTTATTGTCATGAGTGTAGTGACTTACTACTATTTTATACACAAAACAGCCCACCAAAGTGAATGATATTTTGGATATCACACTACAATTTTGGTCAACTAACACGCTACTAAGAGAGTTCTGGGGGAATAGTGGTCTATGCACTGAGCTGATCATCAAAAGGGAAGTGATTCAAAACCACCAGCCGCTCTCTGAGAGAAAGATAAGACTCTACTCCCATTAAGATTGAAAATCTTAGAAACCCAAAGGGCCAGTACTTTCCTGTCCTATAGGGTCACGGTGAGTCAGAATCTACTCAATATCAGTGAGTTTTCTTGGGTTTTGAGTGCTCTACCAATACAGAAAATATGGTCAATCACGAATAAAGATAGACAGCTGGTCATTGAATCAGACTGTCTTTAAATATTTCAATTTTGATAAATCCTCTCAAAACAAACCAACCAAAAAAACCTCACTACCAGCAAGTTGATGCCAGCTCGTAGTGCCCCTATAGGACAGGATAGCACTGCCCCCATGAGTTTCTGAGTCTGTGACTCTTTATAGGAGAAGCATTCTCTTTCTCCAGGAGGCCGGCTGGGTTTCAAACTGCTGACCTTACGGTTAGCAGCCCAATGTGCAATCATTACACCACCCAGGTGTCTATGAAGGACTTCCCCAGCGAATGATATTGCCAATTGAATGATAGATCATTTAAGAGCCAGAAAAAGTAAATTCAGAACAGCTTGATATCACTGGTGTCTTTTTCAATGTCTTCACTGTATCAGGCATGCCTTCGGTCCAGATAGCCATTACTCTGATGCAATATTTGAGGGTTAAGGAAGAAAAAATTTTGCTCAGATTTTCCAGAATTCAGACGACAGGGTTTGTTTGTCACATTAAGGTTTGTGAAACATGACTGTGTTTAAGGTAAGTCTATGATCAGACATTGACCCTGCTTATATATAATCATAATGGCAAATCTGCAGAATGGCACAGGTAATTCATGATCAGTATTCTAGCATAGTTTGAAATATAAAAAGCACCTGCAAATATGGTTTTGTTTGTTTGTTTGTTTGTTTGTTTGTTTCAATCATTTTATTAGGGGCTCATACAACTCTTATCACAAGCCATACATACATCAATTGTGTAAAGCGCATTTGTACATTCATTGCCCTCGCAAATAGGGTTTTGAGACCACTTTCACAGAGCTTTATGATGAAGAAAAGATAACTATGAAAAGACCTACCTAGAACAATAAAGCAACTTCAGTCCAGAAAATTCCAGGTCATAAGTTTTTGTTCAGGCAGGTCCTTGGCCTCACTCACTCTCTGCCTGAATCCTCGGCCATCCCCCTCTCTGCTCAGAAACTTGCTCCAGACTCCGCTCTCTCTGGGCTCACTAGGCCTCCTTCCTACCTTGCCTTTCGGCAGGTTCACTCTATTTTCAAACAGTTCCTTCTCTGTTTGCTAGCTCTTCACTGCTTAAAGAATAACAACCAGGTGATGAGACTTGGGCTAAGAACCCAGTTTGGATCCTATGGGCTAATCTCGCAGATTTTGAAGCTCATGGGTCTACCCTACATCTCAACACTGCTCTTTCAGCAACACAGCTGAGAGCATCACTTACATCTAAAAAAGGGGTTTAACAATTATGAGGGAAGTATTACTATGACCTAAGTAAGAACTCTGGAGCCCAAGCTATTTAGGTTGAGTTCTAATTCTGTCTCTTATTTGTTGCGTGGCCTTGGCTATTTTGTTTAGCTTCTTTACATCTGTTTTCTCATCTATAAAACAAAGATGATGATAACAATACCTATTCTCATTGGCCTATTGTGTTGATTCTGTAAATACATGTAAAGTACTTATAAGAGGGTAGTAAGTACGTAGTCAACTCTCAGTAATATTATTATTATGGTAATGATAACAAAGATATTACAAAGGTAATGATAATATGAATTATTTGCTTGGAGGAATGACCCATCCATGCCCCACTAATTGGCAAGCATGGTATCATACCAGAATTAATCATTCATTTCCCACCTCCAGTACTAGCCATCTAAGGAAGCATACCCAGATAGACAGATCACATACACACACACACACCTAAAAATTATTCTTTATGCTAGTTTGGGAAGAGAAAAATGAATGTCTTCTCTAATTTTCTTAAGTCTGCAACCAATTTTTTTTTCCTTCTCCTAAAATATAAAAATAATACATATATAGGCCCAAAGTAGATTGAATGACTTGTGGATGGTCAGTCCTAGGACTGTGGTTCTCAACCTTCCTAATGCTGTGACACTTTCATACAGTTCCTCATGTTGTGGTGACCTCCCAACCATAAAATTATGTTTGTTGCTACTTCATAACTGTCATTTTGCTACTGTTATGAATCAGGCGACCCTGTGAAAGGGTCCTTCAAGCCCCAAAAGGGTCGTGACCCACAGGGTGAGAACCTCTGTCCTAGGGTCTTCTCCCCAAACCCATTGCCATTGAATTGATTCCAACTCACAACAATCCCGTATAGGATTTCCAAATCCTGTAATTCTTTAGTTGAAGAGAATGCATCATCGTTCTCACACGGAGCAGATGGCAGTTTTGAACTGCTGACCTTGCCACTAAGTAACTTTTAAAATCAGTGCTTTTACCCTGGCATTGAGGCCATTATAAAACTTTTAGGAAATGGTAGGGTATGAGCTCCTCACTTTACAAGATCCTTGATGTGACCCTAGTTTTTGACTCAGTGCCCACAGATCATGGTGTGTCTGTGCAAACAACACTGTGAATTATATTGCCGAAGTGTCAATTTCATAGTGAAGATATAAATGCTGCATTGTTTCTCTGAAATATTAAGACTAATCTCTGTTTTACATTAAAAAGCAAAATTCCTCCAGGCTTTGTCGGGCAAAACAAATGGGACTAAGAAGTAAAAGGGAGGTCAAACAAGAAAGCTTATAGTTGAGGGCCTGTAGTTCTCAAGTAGAGGGTAGACTAGAAGGTGGAGGGAACATTTGTAACTCCTTTGTGTCTTCAATTTGAAGGGAATCTACTGATTCCATTGGTTGCAATCACGAAGATCTCTGTTGTTTTAATAATTCTTTCTACCTAAAGACAATGGATGGGTTTGATTTTTCTTCCATATTTTCAATTCTAATCCTGATTCTTGTTTCCATTTTAAATATTAAAATCTTCATGGTTAAAGTATCCAAGCGGGATTTTCCTCCAGGACCTAGAACGTTGCCAGTTATTGGAAATCTGCACATCCTCAATCTGAAGAGTCCATATCAAACTATGCTGGAGGTAAACGGGTGGGGGGGAAGCTATTTCATACATTTTGTATGTTTCTAACTCATTCTAACCCTCATAGGTATGGTAGCGTGCATGCATTCATAAGTAGTTCATGCATGTGTAACAAGATAACTAAACTGAACTCTAAATTAAATAGAGCTGCTTTACATTGAAATGTTAGCTGCTTTTCATTTATAGATATAAAGGTATTAGTAACTATTGTTTCATTAGTTAAGGCATTTTTCTGTGAAATAGTTATGACTAGTAATTTTTATATCAACTATTTTGGAGCTACATTTTGTCATAGAATGGTCTACTACTAAGGAACTGACTTGTGATGATTGTCTTATGATAAAGACTTCCAGGTAACACTACAATGCAGCATATACAAAAGGCACAATCAAAAAGTAAGACTCCAGAAACTGAGATAGAAAATTAACTTCCCACTAATTAGATACATGCATTTATATAAGGAGGTAGCCTCTGTTTTTGTTTCCTCACCTTCCTCTGAATAAATTGTCCACTTCAAAGGTTCTACTTATGATGGCAAGGTTAGTTAGGTAGATAGATGATAGACAGATAGATAGATAGATAGATGATAGATTGATAGATAGATAGATGATAGATAGATAGATAGATAGATAGATAGATAGATAGATAGATAGATAGATAGATAGATAGATAGATAGATAGAT